ATGATGCTGATGATGCTGATACTGCTGCTGATGATGATTATGATGATGCTGCTGCTGATGATGATGATGATGATGATGATGATGATGATGATGCTGACGATGATGATGATGATGATGATGATGATGATGATGATGATGATGATGATGATGATGATGATGATGATGATGATGATGCTGATGATGATGATGGTGATGATGCTGCTGATGATGATGATGTTGATGATGATTCTGACGATGACGATGATGATGATGATGATGATGATGATGATGATGATGATGATGATGGTGGTGGTGGTGGTGGTGGTGGTGGTGGTGGTGGTGGTGATGATGATGATGATGATGATGATGGTGGTGGTGGTGGTGGTGGTGATGATGCTGATGATGATGATAACGATACTGGTGATTGCGACGATGGTGACTCTGCTGATGATGGTGATGATGTTTTGATGATGGTGACGGAGATGCGGAGGGAGAGGATGAGGAGACAGAAGAGGAAGCCCGTCATATGTGTTTTTTCGTATTCATTCTTTGAGGAGCTCTATATCACATGTAGTCTGCACCAGGAAGTGTGCATAAGCATCATGATTACGAGCAGAAAGAGGATGTCAGCAGGAGGAGGAGGAGGAGGAGGAGGAGGAGGAGGAGGAGGAGGAGGAGGAGGAGGATGAGCAGGAGGAGGAGCAGGAGGAGGAGGAGGAGGAGGAGGAGGAGGAGGATGAGGAGGAGGAGGAGGAGGAGGAGGAGGAGGAGGAGGAGGAGGAAGGAGGAGGAGGAGAGGAGGAGGAGGAGGAGGAGGAGGAGAGGAGAGGAGGAGGAGGAGGAGGAGGAGGAGGAGGAGGAGGAGGAGGATGAATAGGCGGAGGACGAGGAGCCCGAGGAGGAGGAGCGATAGCGGAGGTCAGGAGGAAGCGGAGGCACCAGAGAGCAGCGCTAGGTGCACGACTCCTCCCCTGTGAAGATGGCGGAGATCAACTTCCTGTGCCCGCCTCGGAGTTCTTCATCATCATCATCCTTCTTGCGTCCTCCATCGGCGTGGCTCTCCTCATGCGTCGTCCTCTGCCTCCTCTTCCTCCGCCTCCGCCTCCTCCTCCTCTCCTCCTCCTCCATCCGTCTCGCTGTTCCTCCTCGTCCTCCCCCCAGTTCCCCGCTCCCTTCCTCCTCCTCCTCCTCCTCCTGTTCCTCCTCCTCCTCCTCCTCCTCCTCCTTCGTCTCCTCTCTTTACCTCCGCAGGCGGGCGCAAGCCGGCAGTGCCGAACCGCCTGAGCGGTGGTAAGAAGAAACCGCCTACGACGGAAGAGAGCAGGGAGGTGCGCGCGAGCCGCCGCCCAGGGCATCGAGGGGCGCGAACCCAGGGAGGGAGGGAGAGAGGGAACCAGGAGCTGGAAGGACCGAGCGGAGCAGGAACAGGAGAGGAGAGCCAAATGGAGCAAAAAGAGGAACCTTCGCCCTTCGTCTCCTCCTGCTCCACCTCCTCCTCCTCCTCCTCAGTCCTCCTCCTCCTCCTCCTCTCCCTCCTCTCCCTCCCCCTCCTCCTCTTCCTTCTCCCGTCACTCCTCTTGCCCCTCTCCTGTGTCCTCTCCCGTGGAGCGTTCCCGACCCGTGCGCCCCCGGATCTCCACGGTCCGCGGCCATCGTCTCGCTTTCGGGCGCTTGTGCACTTCGCGCGACTGGGCTCGGCCGTCCTCCTGTCCTCCTCCTCCTCCTCCTCCTTGTCCTCCTCGTCCTCCTTCTCCTGCTCAGGACCATCTCTCTCGCTTCCATCATCTCATCCTCTCTTCACACCGCCAGTCCATCGTTGTTCGTCTTTTCTAACTGTTCTCACTCCGCCATCCCCCTCGCTCCCAATTGCTACTCGTGCTTCGTCTCCTCGTCATCCTTCTCTTCCGCCTCTTCTTCCTCTCCTTCTCTCCCTCTGCCTCGTCTACGCTGTCGTCACTCCTGTCGTGGCGGTGCCACCGTTCGACGCTCATGGCGGCGGCCACATAGCCACCTGCATGTCTCCTTTTATTTCTTCTAGGCTCTTCTTTTTCTTCGCCCTCCTCCTCTAAACTTCTTGCCTGTCTCGCATCGCATGTGTCCAGACACTCCAGAATCCAGAGGCCACGGCCTCGCCCGCCTGGCCTGCCCGCAGCGGTGGCCGGTCGTTCCTTCGTTGGTGAGACGGCCCGCCCCCTCTGCCTTCACCCGTGGCAGGCCAGCCACGACTGGGGGAGCTGTGGTCCTTAACCCCCCTGGGGGACCCTGCGATTTCGACATCCCTCTCGAGAGATCCTCGATGCGACGGGTTCCCCCAAGGGGGGGTAAGGACCACAGCTCCCCCAGTCCTGGCTGGTCGGCGTGGGCTCGCCGCCGACCCCCCGAAGCTTCTGCGGGGGCGCCCTCGCGGAGGCTGGGCGCAGCCGGGCCCCCGGGAGCGCCACGGGAGGCCGCTGGTGCACGGCCGCGGGGGGGCGGCCGGAGGCCGCTGGTAGGCCCACGGCCCTGCCCGGCGGCCGCCAGAGGCCCCGCTGGGCGGCCCTGCTGGCCGGCCCCGCTGGGCGGCCCTGCTGGCGGGAGCGGCCGCTGCCAGACGGCCGCGGGAGCGCCGCTGGAGGCCGCCGGGGAGCCGTGCTCGCGCGGGGAGCGCTGGCAGGCGAGGGGCAGGGCCCAGGCCTGCGGGGAGCCGAGCTCTTTCGGCCGGGCGTGGGTCTCCCGCGTCGGCTTCGGGGGGCCTCCGGTCGGGCTCCCCGGGGCAGTCAGAAGTCGGTCCAGCGCGCAAGGGAGTCCCTCCTCCTCCTTCTCCTCCTCCTCCTCCTCCGCCTCCTCGCCCTCCTCGCCCTCCTCCTCCTCCTCCTCCTCCTCCTCCCTTTCCTACCCAACGATGGCAGTAGTGGTGGAAGATCGGCCTGGGGAAGGCGTCGCGGGGCCGCAGATGGAAGACATGCTCTTCTAGCTTTCGGCCCGTCCCGCCACCGTTTCCGGTCTGCGGGAGGCCTCGTGGATGCCTGTTGGGGTCTCTTGGGAAGCTTCTGGGGTGCCTCGTGGAGGCAGTTCTGAAGCCTTTCGGAGCCTCTTGGGGGCCATTTGGTGGCCTGTTCTGGGCCTCTTGGGGCTCTCTTGGGGGCTCCTGGAGGCTTTTGGGGGTCTGCTGGCGGTGTGGAGGTCCCCGATTGGGGCCGATGGCTCGAAATCTCAATTCGAGTTCCCTCTCTTGGGCTCCTCTTGGACTTCTTTTGGGCCCTCTTGAGGCCCTATCGGGCTGTCGCCCTCTTGAGCCGTTTTTGGGGCAGTCTTGGTGGCCTCGTGGGCTGTCTTGGTGCGATCTTGGGGGCCTCTTCGGCCATCTTGGACACTGCGAATGCCCCAAAGGCGAATCTGCAACAAGTTTCCCTATGGGACGCTTGTTGCCTCTTGGGCTCCTCTTGGGATGGGGCTCTCTTGGGGCGTCTTGGGGGCCTATTGGGACGTCTGGAGAGCATCGTGGCCAGCCTTGGGGCCTGGGGCCGTCTCGGGGCGCTCTTGGACCCTCTTGAGGGCTTCGGAGGAAACCTGGCAGGGTCTTCGGGTCGTTTTGGGCGGGGTCACTGCCCCGGAGGCCCACGCGGAAGCAAGACATCGCGCCTCGAAAACCGGGTATACGCGCCGTTCAGAACCTTACAACCCCTGGTGCCTCGTAGTGCTACGTGAGCCTTGTGGCACTCCGCTGCGTACGTGCCGAAGGCACGGTGGCGGATCTATGGGGACATCTTGTACAGGCTTGTGAAGTCGGCTCGCTCTGCGACTCCTCTCTTTGCTCTTCCCCCTCTTGCTCCCCCCTCCGCTCTCCTCCTGCTCCACCTGTCACTTCTCCCTTCTGTTTCCTCTGTTCTCCCTTCTCCTCTTCCACTGTGTTCCTCGTCGTCGTCGTCGTCCTCCTCCTCCTCCTCCTCCTCCTCCTCCTCCTCCTCCTCCTCCTCCTCCCCCTCATCGTCTTTTTCCACCCTTCCCACGTATCCTGGAGCTTCGGGCGGAAATTTGGCGTCGGAGCGCTGTGAGGTGCGTGCACAAGAAGCTCCGATCGAAGCGCCTCGCCCCGGTGCTCATCAAGGAGATCACGCGGCGGGTGAACAAGGATCTCGCCGAGGAGGAAGCAGGAGGAATACTGCGCAGAACGGTGCCTGTGATGAGGGGGGCGGGAGGAGCGCGGCAGAAGTGGGGGGGAAGAGAGGGGGAGGACCTCCTGGAGGGAGGGGGTGCACCCGACCTGGTCGACACCAGACCTGGAAGGGGTCTGGATGTTCGCGGGAGGGTGGGGAAGGAGTCGGAGGACGGGGAGGGGGAAAGAAGGAGGGAGAAGCAGGACGACATGGGGGGAAGGAGGGAGGCGGATGTGGAGGGGGAAGTGGAGCAGGAGGAGCTCACCGTGTGGGAGCCCAGCCCACATATCGTGGCTCTCTCCGCGCAGGATGGAACATGCGCCTGCTTTTGACTGCGATGCGTGCGAAGGGTTAGCATTTTTCAGGCAGGCCGCTTCCGCATTCACACTTCATTTGTTGGACGTAGCAGTGGGCTTGGTTTGAGATCCAGTCCTGCTCTTTCACCTCACTCTCCCTCCCCCCCCGCCCCCCTCCCCCTCACCTTGTCCTTCTATCCCCTTCTCCCTCCTCCCCTTTCACCCTTTCCTCCTTACACCCTCTTGTCCTGTTTACACTTTTCATCAATTGCACAGCACGCTAGCCAGCGTGGACTCCAAACAGTGTGTTTTCTAGCATACCGTGTGGCGCAATCTATTTGGTGCAGCAGATGTTGTGCACTCCATGTGGTGCAATCTACGTATTTACGTGGTGCGATCTACATGGTGGAAGCCATACGGTTCAATCCCTGTGGTGCGCAATCTAAGTGGTGCAATCTTTGCGAAGCAATCAATGTGATGTAAGCTATGTGGTGCAGTCTATGTGGAGCTAGTGCACTCACCGATGTGGTGTGAAAGAAAGGTCGTGCAAGAACCAGCATGACGAAGTGCTCGGCTCTCTGATCAACCGCTAGCAAGTCAATGAGACTCGCTCGGTCGGCGTAAAGTTCTCCCGCACGATGAAGGCGCCCAGACGAACAGTGGCAACCAACATGCGGGATCTCATCTCGTAGCTTGGCGACGCTGAGTAGCACACCCAGCCGCTCTTACTTGTCACTCGGGGCACCGAGGCCCAGAAAGAGTTGTCCAGCTTGAGCTCAGTCGCCAGCTCGCGCCTCTTGGCCTCGAAGTGCGGGCACTCCTGGAAAAGATGGCGGACACTGGGCAACGGGCAGCTGCACCACTTACAACATTTGTTCAAGCGCAGTCTTGTGTAAGTCTGGCATGCACCGCTTCGATATATCATGACACTCTGCGATTCCTCAGTGGTCAAGCTTTTCTCGAACTTCTGGTAGATCTGGCTACTGCTAAGATCAACATCGACATCTTCGATACCTTCAACGTCATTACGTGTAAGATGAACTGAACGCAAGCAAGCTACACGAGCGACGGCACGTACTGCGTGGGCCCCACCAGAGGCCTCTGTCCAACACTTATCTTGGGCATCTCGAACTTGGGCGGTCACACGAAGGACTCGAGGATCTGCTCCAGGAGGGACCCGCAGACATACTCCCCACTGAGCGTTATGGTCGACATACTCTAGGTTTATCTGGGCATAGTGGGCCCGCAGGGCCTTGCTCAAGAACTCGGGATCAGGTTCTCGGAGCGCACGGATTTCATAATCTGGAGACACGGCGAATATAGAGGATGCAGCTGTACTCTCTGGGCCCACCAGCGGCCTGCACACCACCACGTATTTGCAGTTCTCAAAACAGCGTGGAAAAGTGCCCCAGGAGCCCACCGAGGAACTGGTTCGACCAGCGGGGTCGCCCAGAGCCAGAGGGGCCTCACATAGGCCGCGGCAAGACGTTCACGAACAGCAGCGGCCCCTGGGAACGACTTCAGCACCCCCACGGCCACCTCGAGCTTTTTCCAGCCTCCTCGAGGCCGAATCGGTTTGTCGGAGTCGGCGGGATCGCACATCACCCCCAGGTGCTCTATGTCGTTCTCCTTCCCCTCCTCCCAAAACTGGCGCTTCGACGCGTTCTCAACGAACCCTACGTCCTTATCAAAAGCTTGGGTCTTGGCTAGACCCTCTGCTAGATCAAGATCGGCACGTACTCCACCCGCCGTCAGGGAGCGGTCGTCCATGTACGCCCAGCCCTGGGCGGGTTCGGCGCGCCACGGGATCAATGTCGCAACCATCGCCCCTTGAGCACAGGAATCTCCTTGAGACAATCCTTTTACCACCCACAACGGAGGCGATAGTTTATTCTGCACACAACACACTCTGGGTCCCTTCCACGCACACAGACAGATACTGATAAGTGCTTCTGGGGCTCTCTCAGCTCGTAATGCGGCAACTGCTACATAGTGGTCTACGTTGTCGTAGGCTTTGCTAAGGTCCATCTCTAACCCCCTGGTGGCCCCCACAGAGAGCCATGCCGATATAGCGTGGCTGACGCTCACACCTGACTTACATGCATACTGGTTCTCGGCGGCCGTCGGCAGGGCGACTGCTAGAGCTGATAACCAACATCTCACTAGGGCTGACGCGACACTGATTGGACGCGACTCATTTTCATCCTTCTTCGGGATCCCAACCACCCTCCACACGAATATCTCCTTCAAGAGCCCGCGATCGAGCTCTCCCTTGACCGACACCGCGTGGGACGAGGTGTCGCACCAAACAAAGTACAACTCATCAATGATGAAGGGGGCAACTTTCAACAACAGGTGGACCTCGGAGGCCTTCCACCCGTCCATACCTTCTGCACCTTTACACTTTTTTATGGCTGCTATGAACCCCGCTTTTGTTGGATACCAGTCGTTGGGCTCGCTGCTCGTCGGGATCGGCTTGCTGCCCGCTCTCGCTGCTGCTTCCCATCGTTTCCAGTTCGCTACTTTGCTCTCGCTCTCGTACTGCTCGGGCTTCCAGACGGGCTCCCACTCGGCTCTCATTCCCTCGCTGTCGAAACCAGGACTCGGGGCCCCTGCTTTGAACACCGGTGTGGCCAACTTCCAGAGGTCCTTGGACCACCCCTGAAAACGTGCCCCCCAGTGCTTGCGCTTCTCATCCGCCACCATCCGCTCCTCGAACGTGATGGCCTTACTGACTGCATCTAAGAGCTGGCCGTACGACGGCCACCCGTCCACATGCCGAATCAACTTATCTTGCACAGCAGCGGTGTAGGCGCTCATATGACGGAGGTCAAGACGAACGCTGGCACCCTGATGAAAACGGACTTGGTGCAAACATGCTCTGTGTAGTCGGCGAAGCCGTCGAAGGGCAACCGACTCAGCAAGACAATGAGCAGGAGGATGAGCACAGGGTTTAGCGGTAGGGTACGTACCTTTATCACGTTCAGCTGCTCGTGCTACTCTAACCCATCCCCTAGCTGCTGCTTCTTCTCATGCGTGCTCGGCTCTAGCGTGCCATGCTTTCCATTTCGTCGATAGATCGGTATCTGGGCGAGGCTTCGGGATCATCGAGTTACAGGCTTGCTCGATCTGCTTCTGCTCTGGCTCGTTTACGAACGCGATGGCGGCCTCCTCGAACAAGGCCGTATGCCGAAGGCGTGTGAGAGGACGTTGCTGAACTGGACACTGGGCCACCTCATAGATACACATGCCGTGGTGCGGGATGCCCTCGATGAAGTGCGTGCCTATGTGCTTGGGGGGATCATTATCTTCAGCAAGCCACCGCAGACATCTAGACGGAGACGTACCAGCTGTTGTGGTGGGGCAGGAGTTTACTGTAGTAGACCAGCCAGGGCCCACCAGCTTAGCATATCTAGAGAACCAGTTCAAGTCCCCGACGAGGATGGTGTGGTTGCTCACTTTCTGGGCCCAGTCAAGAGCCCTCCGAACCCAACCGCAATCTCCCCGAACAGGCCCATAACCACTCACGACGGCGACTGTCGCAGTTTTTACAGCTACTGCTCGGTGATCGAGATCTTTATCACGTTGCACTGTCACCTTGCCAATACCTCTGCGCCATAGGACAGCTGTCCCACCAACGCCTTGAGAACCAGAAGATGACGGAGGGGGAGGAGGTGAACATGCGACTCCCCACCCATAATTGTTAGCCAGCGAGACCAGCCATTTGGGCCGAAGCTCCCAGCTCTTGATCTCCTGCCAGGCCATAATATTTACTTGCTTGACTTCTTGCTGCTTGAATATTGCTGTTGCCCTGGCCCTGGTCAAAGCTGTGACGTTTATCGAAGCGATCCTGCACGGCCCCGAGGATGGAGTGGAAGGCTCATTACCATCACCACCGCCGAGAAGGGGATCATGACTTGAGGTGGGACGTTCAACAGAAACTGAATTAGTGAAACCTTCCACAGAAACTGAATTAGTGAAACCTTCCACAAAAACTGCATTCAAGTAGCGTGCAATACTCAGTACTGTGCCGCGCGTGATAGCATCCAGCCGCAGGGCCCCACCAGCACACGAGACGGTGGGCCACCTCGTAGAAGCACATGGGCCTGGCTGCGTCCTAACACCGTGGCGGCGGAGCCCAACTGACGCAGGTTCGAGGAGCACCTGCCGTCGGGACTTGCATTCAGACACCTGCCGTCGGAGAAGAGGCGAGTGCGTTCTAACTCCACGTGGCGACATGAGCCCAACAAACACAGGCTCGAGGAGCACCTGTGGTCGGGACTTGCGTTCAGACACCTGCCGTCGGGGGAGAGGCGAGTGCGTTTAACGCCGCGTGGCGACATGAGCCCGACTGACACAGGCTCGAGGAGCACCTGTGATCGGTACTTGCGTTCAGACACCTCCGATGAGCACGACATCGGCGTGGTGGAAGTAGAACCAGCACCTCTGGGCCTCCCTCCGCACAACTTGGAATGTACGTCAAGTCGGGTGGGTTCCGCTAAGGTACGAGAGCCACTCAATTCCAACGACGCTGCACATGGGATTAATTCCATGGCTTGAAGATACTCGCGATGAAACTGCCGACCGAGGCCAAACCAATTCCATCGAGGTAAGAGCTTATACGCTTATACGAAATCTTTTCCACGGCTAGTCAAGATGAAACTGAGGCGGCCGCTGCCTTCTTCGCCTGATGCCTTTGCTTCCAATAGTCTTTCTTCTTCTGATGCCACTCAGGGTCCGACATACGCTTGTTGGCCATCTAAGCTCGGCGTTTGGCTCGACCAAGGTGTGTCTTCCCGTGATTGGCGTAGTACCCCCTCGCATATGCATCACGAGTGGTTTTGTACTTGGTGCGGGCAACTTCAGCTTTGGCGCGCTTCCAGGCGTCATGCACAGCCGGCTGTGCTCGACGAACTTGGGCGTGCCGCTGGACTCCCTCACGTACCTTTTCCATGGACGTCTTACTCTTGTGCGTGCCCAACGAGACCTGGAGCAGCTGCTTGACAGAGAATCGCTCAGGTCGCTTAGCACACGGCTGGACCTTCGCGTTCCCAGTCCGCTTGTATCTTCCACACTTCGTGCAAAGGTAAGATTCTTTAGCCTCTTGTGTCCCACCACTGGTCGCAACCTGGGAGAAGTCCAGGTTGCAGAAGGCGTCGCGGTACTGGGCGGGCTTGGCCAACTTCCACTGCTCATATCTCGTCTGAACGGCTTGGCGAGTTCGGACGCGATGGCTAGCTTCTCGGCGGACGGCTGCCGCCTTGGCCCACATCTTCGGCGGGCCGCTCTGCGGCGGGGGCTCGCCACGGCAGGCACTCCAGTGGCGCTTAGCCTCAGCCGCACGTGGGACAGATCAGGTGATCTCCAGGCTCACGAATTGCAGGATCGTCCAGTTCATCATCCGAGGCTGGTACTCCCAGAGCTTCGCGAGCCGCTTGAACTTTGGCTGAACTGCTGGCAGACGAGCTGGGGACCCCCAGGATCCTGCGAGCCCGCCTCGTCGAGGTCGAACCACACGCCGAGGAAGCTCCACACTTGCTAAGCCCACCGCCATCGAGGTTGACAGGGTATGGTAGCATCGCTTCCTTCCACTTTTTCATCGTCGCTGAATCCACTGGCTTCTTCAACACTAGGCGTTCATAATGCTTATTCTCCAGAACCATCATCACCTGCTGCTTGAGCTTCTTCGCATGCTGAGACGGGGGCCCCTACAGCGTCCAATGACCATCACTTGCTTTTGACCAAATAAGAATCTCAGACTTCGTCGCCAACGCTGCTGCCAAGACACCAATGCTGTTGAACATCGTCTTGTTTGTAGCC